CCCCAAGGCACTGGGGGAGATGTGCTGGGAATAACGCACGGAACAGGGATTTGAAAGCTAATAAACCGTAAGATTCATTTTTCTTTCTGCTACTATTTTCCTATGTGCTTGTGGGAATAGAGCGATTATATGGGTCAACGATAAAGATTTAACTGTCAAAAGTCCCACTACAAAAGGGAAAGTTACAGAGCAAATGACTTCTGGGGGAGTGTGATTATCCCAAAGGGTTGTAAGGAAACCTTAGGAACTTAAGTTTAAACATACTTATTCTCACCAGATACATTTCCTTTAAGCAATTAGGCCACTGCATCTTATTCTCTGTTTTATTATTTTATTTTTTTAGATTTTATTTATTTATTTGACAGAGATCACAAGTAGGCAGAGAGGCAGGCAGAGAGAGAGGAAGGGAAGCAGGCTCCCTGCTGAGCAGAGAGCCCAATGCGGCGCTCGATCCCAGGACCCTGGGAACATGACCTGAGCCGAAAGCAGAGGCTTTAACCCACTGAGCCACCCAGGCACTCCTGTTTTATTTTTTTATTAAAAATTTTTTAAAAAAAATTTATTTTTAAGTTATCTCTACATCCAACGTGGGGCTCAAACCCACAACCCCTGAGTTCAAGAGTTGAACGCTCCACCGACTGAGCCAGCTAGGTGCCCTTCTTATTCCCTGTTTTAAAAAGTTATTTTCAGAATTAATCACCAGCTGCTCCCAGTTCCATAATCAAAAGTTGCCTACTTAAAAAAAAAAGTTTTCTACTCTTGAATTAGAGGCGACTCTGGGGGCACCTCTTAATCTTGGGGTTGTGAATTAAAGCCCTGCACTGGGGGTGCAGATTATCTAAAAATAAAATATTTTATCCTTTTTGAGAGAGAGTGAGCACTAGCGGGGGGTGGGGGTGGGGAGGGGCAGAGGGAGAGGGAGAAACACACCCCCAGCTAAGCAGGGAGCCTGATGCGGGACTGGATCCCAGAACCCCTGGGATCATGACCTAAGCTGAAGGCAGATGCTTACCTGACCGAGCCACGCAGGCGCCCCTAAAGGTAAAATCTTAAAAAAAAAAAAAAAGCTACTCTGATAAAAGATGTTGAGAATTGTTGTCTGAAGAACAGTGGTTGCTTAACTCCATTTTCTGTCAAGTTCAGCATGGAAGCCCCCCAAGCCAGAACAGCCTGTTTCCTGCTTCAACTCTGGGCTCATCACCATCAAGCCTCTCACCCTGGGGGTTGTCCCACCCCATAGTATCTCTGAGGTCAAGTGTTTCTTCTCCTCTCTAGCTGTTCCTCCTTCCACTGCAGTTTTGAGATGACTCCTACTTTCCATACGAAAGCATCATGTCCTGCGCTCCTACACTATGTCAGATGCCTCCACATGGTCTCAGGTGACCTTCTTCAGTAACACAGAACCAGGGCAGAAACAGGACGCCATCAGCCCTGCAGGGAATGCGTTCTTGGAGGAACACAGTCTGGGGAGATGGCAGAGGGCCCACAGGAGTCCAGTCTGCACTGAGAAGTGAAGGCAGCGGGGTGATTTATCCAAAGTACTTTATTATTTCTTTTTTCCTGTACGGCAATCCCACACATATCAACCTGCCAAGCGCGGAAGGGTTCGTTGAGGGGGAATGAAGAGTTTCAGGAAAACCATGAGTTAGTTTGTAAAGGTTCGCCAACACGATATAAGAAATGGCGAGGGAAGAAAAGTTTGAGCTGTGTTACGGACTGCACCAAGGAATACCGATTTCTAGACAAGATTCTAAATGGTCTTCTATTATCTAAAATCATCTTGCCAATGTGAGGAACACAGCTCTTAGGGAGGCAATACACAGTGAAGCAATCATTCTTCTCGTTGTGCAGTGATATGCTGAGATGCTGTTGGTTCTCTAATAAATAATTATACGATCCACATCTAATTTCTGTGTTATAAGAAAAGGGAGAAGAGTATGCTGCCAAAGGAGGCAAGAATCCTAGCAAATGCAGGACTTTAGTCCACAGTATAATAAATGTCCCCCCTATTTATAGGAAAGCGGACATTTTAACAGCATTATCTCCATGTGGATGGGAATTCAGAAAGAAAATGAAAATACTGGAAAGGAAAGGGATTCATTTTTGGGGTAGTGCCTATGTGAGACAGTGTAACTCAGAAACACTTCTCTTAACCCACTTTCTTTTCACTTGGGAAGGTTTCCTTAAAAAAAGCCCTACTGGGGCTCCTGGGTGGCTCAGTGGGTTGAAGCCTCTGCCTTCAGCTCAGGTCATGATCCCAGGGTTCTGGGATCAAGCCTTGCTCCGGGCTCTCTGCTTAGCGGGGAGCCTGCTTCCTCCTCTCTCTGCCTGCCTCTCTGCCTGCTTGTGATCTCTGTCTGTCAAATAAATAAAATCTTTAAAAAAAGAAAAAGAAAAAAAAAGAAAAAAGCAAAAGAAAAAAAGCCCTACTTTGTGAAATCCTTCATTCAGAAACTGCCTTTGCCACTCAGAGTGGGCTGGTTCCAGATCAGATGGCAATGGTCGGAGGCTCCTAGAGCAGGCCAGAGAGAGCGAGGCCCTGATGGTGATTTGTGTGAGAGGGCCCAGGGCGGGGACAGGCACTGCAGACCACCAGGTAGACTCGCCAGGGCAGAAAGCCTTGGGAAGGAGCACAGAGCATCCGGGCTGGCCCCCACGGGATGGTCCCTTTCGGAACGCCCACTGCTCAGGCACGCATCTAGCTTCTGCTTCCTTCTTCAGGGTCAGAGAACGAACTTCTTCCAGCTAGACCATTTTTCTTTATGTAGAACCCAGGTCTCCTCCCTCTACGGATCCTCACCCCCTTCCCCCCCACCCCATAACCCAGAACACGCCTGTCTCTTGTTCATGACATGGTCCTTCCACATGATAAACCTTCTGTGGTCTAACCATCCCCAATTCAGTCCTGAAATTCTTCCATCCACATACATTTACGGAATGCCCACAATGCCCCTCACTTTGTACGGATCCTATGCCTGTCACCACTGTCCTTCCTCTGTGGGCAGGTCCCCCCCGTTAAGGAGTAGCTCCCCCTCCTTGACCCCCGCTTTCAGACACAGGCTGAATTCTGAAAAACAGAGCAGGATGATCACCTCCATCCTTCCAGATACTCTCCCAGCTCTGCGTCTTTCAGGGTACGGGACACTGGGCAGTTGAGCGACATCCTTTGACTCTAGTTTCGGGTATAAATGGGGCGAACACCATCAGTTTCTACTCAACACGGAGGCTGAGGTGAAGCAGCTACCGAGCACGAGATGCCCCCATGCCTGGCACCCAGCAAGCCCTCGGGGAGCGTGGGGCTTAGCAGTAAGACTAATGTCGAGCCGTTGGATGACGGGACTCTGAACTTCGATAATGCCGCTCGTCCTCTATGCCCCTATGCTGTCGGTTTATGCATCTGAGCTGGAAGGAGGAGCGACGTTAACGTCTGTGACATCTGAGAGACCCACAGGGTGTGCGAGGGATGAAGGACTGGGAGAAGCAGCCACCGGCTTAAATGCTGAGCGCTCTGACAGTCACGGGCTGTTGATGGGGACAAACCCAGCAGCCAAAGCCGAAGCTGCAAGAATTCAAAATAGAGGTGTGGACGGGGGCTGAGACGAACGGAGGGAGGTCCTGGGAGGTTCAGATTTCCTGACTGAAGGCTCCGTACGCAGCTGTTTAAAAATGCATTAGCCGATCGACCAACTCTACTGCTGGGTGGATGACCCAAAGGACTGAAAGCAGACTCTTAAAGAGATATTTTTATACACATGTTCAAAGCAGCATTTTTTATAAGTCAAGAAGTGTAGTTAGCCAAAATGGCCACCGACGGGTGAGTGAATCGACAAAATGTAACCTACACACACGATGGCAGGGATGTGCAAAAACACGGGTGAACCCTGACGTTACTCTGAGCAAATGACGGAGACCGAGCGTTTGCACGCCCTGCCCCCCCATTCATCTGCTGAAGACCGACTGTCAATGTGATCAGTGTTAGGGGACATGGGGACTTTGGGGGCAACTAAGTTGATGGAATTAGGACGGGGGGCTTTCAGGGTGATGAGGTGATGGGACCGGAACCCTCATGAATGGGATTAGTGCCCCCCTAAAACAGAAACTAGAGACCCCACTTCTCTTTCACCTGAGGATACAATGAGAAGACGGAGCTGCATGACAGAGGAAACCAGCCCCACCAGACGCCTGCCCAAGCCTTGACCTTGGACGTCCCAGCCTCCAAAACTGTGTGCAATGAACTTCCACTGTTCACTGGCGACCCCGTCTGGGCTGTTTCTTCCAGCAGCATGAAAGGACCGAGATGGAGAACAAGCCCGTCATGAAAAAGACAAGAACTGGATGGTTTCACTTATATGAGATACAGAGATCAGTCAGACTCATAGAGACAGAAAGTGGAAGGGTGGCTACCAGGGGTGGGGGTGGCGGTGGGGAGCTGGGGTTTAACGGGTGTAGACTTTAGGCTTTGCAAGGAGCTCTGGAGATGGGGGAAGGGGTTGCACCCCAATGTGAATGTCCTTAATGCTACTGAGCTGTACACCCCAACATGGCAGAGACGGTGAGTGACAGGTCATGTGTATTCTACAACTAAATGTATTTTACAAATATCATACATACAGCTCCAAAAAACCACAGTGAAAGACGAGAACCATGGCAGAAAGGGACGCGGAAAACACTGCTCCTGATTTCACAAGCCTTAAGAAGTAGCTCAAAAGACTAAGCCCTGAATGCGTTAGCTGTTCAACCCCGTTCCCCAAAGCCGTCCTCGCTGAGGCCTGCTCCTGGAGAGTAGAGCGGAGCTTTGAGAGCACAGGTCCTGGGGCAGGGAGAGCTTGTGTCCTTGGCCACCAGCATTGGTCAGGTGGCTCAACCCTCTTCCCCTGCAGCTTCCATATCTGGAGGGTTGCTGTGGCCAATAAACAGGACGAGCACTGCCAAACTCTCCGCACCGGCCCGATGCACGGTGGGGGTGGGAGAAACGCCGCTCTCATGGCCACTGAGCTTACCTGAACGTCATACAGGAACCGGAAGCGGCTGCCCTTGTTGGCGGCGTCCCTCACAGCCCGAGCCAGCTCCACGGACCCCTTCCCGCCGACGGCCCAGTGATAGCAGGGGACCGCATCAAAGGCTCCAGCCCTCCTCGCGAGCTCACAAACTAAGTCAATCTCGGCGCGGGTGTCGGTCCTGGTGATGAAAACGTTTGCGGTTTTGCATCTGTATTCATTTAGTGATGTTTTTAAAGAAAGACTAACCGTTTATACAGAACTTTGCTCCCTAACACTGCATATATTTTCAACATCAAAAGTGGTTACGTTGTGTTTAAATAAATCAGACTTAAAGGAAAGCATTGGGGGGAGGAAGAAAAGCCTCTCCAACAGGACTCAAATATTTCAAGTTGTTAAGGGTTTTATTGAGAAAATTCCGTAACGTAACCCTTTGATCATCCACAGTCTTTCACACAGAAATGCTGGGTGGAATTAAAAAAAATAATAAATAAATAAGAGCCAAGGAAAGGTTAACTCACTATATAGATTTCATTTCCCATAAACATTTGAGAGACTTCTGCTAAAATGAAACCAACCCAACCCAACCCCAACAAACAGACAGAAAGAGCAGAGTATTTCTATATAGTTTCAGATGAAGCCTTCGAAAGACCAAACTTCCTCCAGGCACCCAGAGAGTTCACAGGGCGGCCGGCAAGAGGACCACATGCGAAGCAGCGGCTTCACTTACTTGAAGACATTCAGAGCCACGATAACGGGGACCCCGAAGAGCTGAGCAATCTGGATCTGCTTCTGAAGGTTACAGCAGCCGTCTGCCACCAGCTGGATGTTCTGGAAGGAAACCAGACCCCCATGAACGCCTCCCACCAAAGCTGCCAAACTACGCTGGCAAGTCCATTCTGGCAGGTTCTGCTTCCAACCCGCTCCCTTTACTGTCCTAGAAGCCGTGAAACAAGCCCATAAAACACGTTTTCCTCCAAGAAAAGGTGGCGTACAGAAGGAGGAAGCTCAGAGGCAGAATAATTTCTGAAACCTTTCTGGGTCCAATGGTGTACCGGGGTCCTGGGCCAGGCGGCTATTCCTGCTGCTGGCTGCTGGCCGGGGCATACGCAATGAGCCTGCTCTCTGTAGGTTGGGAGACAGGAGGGCACGGGCCCCGGGGAGGGTGAGGAGTGTGGGTCAGCCATTCTGGGCTCAAATCCCTGGTGCCACCTGTAGGAGCTAAGAGGTACTGTCGCCAGTAAATCAAAGTCTACCCAAGAGTTGAGGAACTCAAGCTAGTGATAAAGCCAACTGTATATGCTCCAAAAGGCAGCTCCCCCCACCCCCCGCCAGCAGAAGAATACGAGGGTATAAGCTTCATGTTTGTGTCTGTGCTGGAGACTGGGCTCCTGTTCCGATGGCTGCTCAGAGGGCAGGAAACAGTACATACATGAACCCTACAGTCATCATTTCTTGAGAATGGAAAGTTAACTGCATGGACTTTATCCCTCGCCCCCACCCGTTTCCTCTGGGATCATGAGAGAAGTGGTTTTCAAGAGGCCACTGGTGGAGGGCTCATTCATGACTGAGATCCGGCGGCAGGCCCACGGTTCACTGGATTTAAACGGTTCTGTGCAGACGCCTTCAGGGCACCTGTCCTTACCTCCTCGGTGTACTCTTTCTTTAGCGGGACCCCAGCAGTTACCTGAGACAAGAAAAGGCAAAAATGAAGGGAATAAACCCATGAGAATGCTTGTTCTGATACTTGTCACATATAAGAGTAGCCAGGTAGGTTGGATTTCTAGCCGCTTCGGGGAAAATGCATGCGAATGAGCCCTACTGGATTGCAGTGTTTGCTTCTGTAGGGGCTGAAGGACCTCCTTTCTCCCGCCCTCTCTCCTGCCCACACACCTGCACCCACCTCCAATACTGTGCTCGCCCGGCAGGTGCACAGCCCCACTTCTGTCACTCATCTCCTGAACCCACTTCCATGGAAGCCAAATACATCCACAAAGGCATGGCCACGGTAGTGGGGAGCTCTCAGAGCACATGCCTTTTACTGAACTGCGCCCAGCACGCTGGGCGCGCTGAAAAGCCCAAATATATTGAAAAGACTTGAGTGGATCAGACAAGGGTAACTTGCTTGGAAACCAGCAACTTGCCCACGTGTTTGCCAATCTGGGGGCTTGGTTTTCTTATCTTTAAAAAAAATAAACAGCGGTTAATTGGCATCGTACTAAACACTGGAGTGAACAGGATTTATTTATTGTTACTGGGAATCCTGACCAATTTATCCTGCCCCCTTTGTTTTTGCTTTAAAAAAAAAAAAAAAAAAAGCTTACTCTGATAAAGATCTGAAGGAAAAACAAATCATGGTCACTTTTCAGAAAGCTGCATTTAAAAGCACAAAATGTGCTTTTAAACCAACAACTGGCAGCCCCAGCTGAACATAAGAGTCTTACTGGAAGCTTTTAAGAAACACTGGTGTCTGTCTGGGCTCCACCCAGGCCAATTTAACCAGGATTTCTGGGAGTGAGACCCAGGATCAGTAACACTGAGAAACTCCCCAGGTGATTCTAACTGGAGCCAATATTGAGAACTTTCTCACTGGTGCCCATTATCCTAGCATAAAATGAGACTTATAATTTGAATGAAACCTGATTTATACAAGGTGTACCATCATTCTCAATAAATTCTAAATAATGTTAAAGTAATTGCCCTTACTCTTCCCTTTGGGTGGCCCATTTCTCACAACAACATAGGGGGTAGCAAGGGCAGTTTAAAGATGGAGTACTAAAATTGAGTAATATAATTTGTAATATTAATAAATTAAAGAGAAAAACCATACCATCTCAAGAGACGAAGGAAGTCATTCAACATTTATTTAGAATAAAAACTTGACAAAATAAGAAGAGAAGCCAGTTTCCTTAATTTGATAAAAAACATACACTACAAACCTATAGAAAAATTGTATATTAGTTAAGAATTATTAAACCTATTCTCTTTTAGATCAGGATAATAAAAGGAGGCCCACTGTTACCACTCCTACCTAACACTGCACTGCCAGCTAGAAAGACCTGGTTAGTGACAAGAAAAAAGCACAAAGATTAGAAAGGAAGAAACAAAACTGTCATTATTTTCAGACATGATTGACCACATGGAACTCTCAAGTGTCTACAGGTAAATCAGTACAATTTAGAAGACAATTTAAAAGTCACAGGGATGTAATGTATAGTCTGTAACTACAGTTAAGAATACTGTACTGAATACTTGAGGGGCGCCTGGGTGGCTCAGTGGGTTAAAGCCTCTGCCTTCGGCTTGGGTCATGATCCCAGGGTCCTGGGATCGAGCCCCGCATCGGGCTCTCTGCTGGGCAGGGAGCCTGCTTCCTCCTCTCTCTCTGCCTGCTTCTCTGCCTGCTTGTGATCTCTGTCAAATAAATAAATAAAATCTTAAAAAAAAAAAAAAAAGAAAATCCTAGAAGGATACTGTACTGCATACTTGAAAGTTGCTGAGAGTAGATTTTTTTTTTAAAGATTTTATTTATTTGAGATAGAGAGAGAGGGAGAGAGAAAGCCCATGTGCACAGGCAGGGGGGAGGGGCAGAGGGAGGGAGACGTAGACTCCCTGCTGAGCAGGGAGCCCGCTATGGGCTCAATACCAGGACTCTGAGATCATGACCTGAGCCCAAGGCAGACACTTAAACAACGAGCCACCAGGGTGCCCCGAGAGTAGATCATAGAAGCCCTTGTTGCAAGAAAATTCTTGTAACTATGCCTGGCGACCGATGCTAACGAGACCTGTGATCCTTTTGTAATGGACACAAGTGTCCAATCATTCTATTTGACACTTAAAACTAATGTAAGGTTTTGCGTCGATGACACCTTAATTTTAAAAAGTCAGTGGAGGGGCGCCTGGGTGGCTCAGTGGGTTAAAGCCTCTGCCTTCGGCTCGGGTCATGATCCCAGGGTCCTGGGATCGAGCCCCGCATTGGGCTCTCTGCTCAGCAGGGAGCCTGCTTCCCTCTCTCTCTCTGCCTGCCTCTCTGCCTGCCAAATAAATAAAATCTTAAAAAAAAAAAAAAGTCAGTGGATATAAAAACAGTATATAAGAATCCATAAGCAACCTGTTACACTATACAAAAATGTAAAGTACACAGTAACAAATCCATAAAAAGATGGAGAAGCCCTTTGTCAAATAAACTGTAAGTCGTTACTAAAATACACTTAAAAAGACCCAAATCAGTGAAGAGGCATCCCATGATCTTAGATGGCAACCCAGCAAATATCCTCTTGGCACGATTCCCTTCCAGGAAAAATGTTGAGAAGATTCTTTATGGAGGTTTATGAGCTGATTCTAAAATACATATGGAAGCCAAAAGGACCGATACCAGGCCAGGCGTGCATGCAGAAACAGAACACCCCGGTGTGGAGTTTGCCATAAAGGCTACCAGTGCGGCACAGACACAATGATATGTAAGCAGACCAGCGGAGCTGAAGAGAGAGCCCAGAAAAAGACCTACACATGTATCACCAAGTAGGCATAAAGAGCAGAAGGAGGGCCTATTTAAATAAACAGTACTAGACCAACTTGTTATTAATATTAAAAAAAAAAAAAGAAAGAAAGAAAGAAAAGAAGATCTGGTGATTGCTCTGTCCATGAACAGCAGTAGCAACGGGCAGGATGGCTAATTTTAGGTATCAGTTCATGCCACAGGGTAGCAGACAGTTGGTCCAACATTATTCAGAGTGTTTCTGTGGGGTGTTTTGGGGGTTATTCTCTTAAATTAGTGGACGTGGAGTAAAACAGATCCATGCCCTGCCTTTCTGTCCCACCCACACCACGTGGCTAGTCCGTATCCAGTCCGTTGAAGGCCCTAATAGAAGAAAAAGATTGTGTGCAAGAGGAATTCTCCAGCGGACTGCCTTTAAGAGTAGGACTGGAACTGGAAAGATGCCCTCCTAAAGCTCTAGCCTGGTGAGCCACTCTGTAGATTTTGGCCTTGTCAGCCTCCATAGACTGACAATGTGTGAGCCAATTTTTTACAGTAAATCTCTTTTGGCATGGATACACAGTGTATTGGTTCTTATACAATGTATTTAAAGAATTAATTGTAAAGGATATCAAGGATCCATCAGTATAACAATATTAGTTCCTACACTGCAGCATGAATGGTCAGCACTTTGGAAGACAGGATATGAATTTAAAATTATTGGGGCTAAAATGGGCAAGTTCAAGGAGGACAGGATTTTCCACTGCACAAATTATGGAAAAAAAACAAGCTGGATAAACATAAGAGGCCGCTATGGTTATTTGTGTAATGATATCCAAAGGAAGTAGAAATTATAATGATCAAAAACATTACCACAGAGTTGTTTCAAGTACGAAGGAAAGACACTGAGAAGGATAATAGAGAGTATAGGATTAAGAAGATGAAAGTTCATCTATTATTTAGTTGTTGAAAACATTTCCTGGATACAGACTCTGCCAGGCATTAGGGATACACACATTAATAAGACATAGTCCCTTATCTCAAGGAATTCAGAGTAGAAAAGAGAGACACACACAGAGACAGTCATAAAACAGTGCAGTGGGGAAGGCTCTTCTGGAGCTCGGGAGAGGGATACTAAGCTCTGCCAGGCTTCCCGCTCCTTTCTTTTTATCATCCTCTGCCCAGATCTGTGCCTACCCCTTGTGAGTCCTTTTACAATCACTGGGCCGGAAACATGATGTGAAGTAGAAGGCGTACAAAAGAGTAAGGTCAGAGGGAAAAGCAACCTCTATAAAACAAGCACATACATTAAGATGAACTAAAACAGGATTATAAATCATGTAGAGAATTTTTTTTTTTAAATATTTTATTTATTTATTTGTCAGAGAGAGAGAGGGAGAGAGAGCGAGCACAGGCAGACAGAATGGCAGGCAGAGGCAGAGGGAGAAGTAGGCTCCCTGACGAGCAAGGAGCCCAATGTGGGACTCGATCCCAGGACGCTGGGATCATGACCTGAGCTGAAGGCAGCTGCTTAACCAACTGAGCCACCCAGGCGTCCCCATGTAGAGAATTTTTAATGAGACAGATAGGAGAGTATGGAAAAACACTCAACTAGAACTCAAGAGACCTTGAGTCTGGTTAGTCCCCTAAGATGGGATGATACGAAGCAAATCAGTGAGTCTTCCTCTTAGCTTAGTCATTTCATCTTTATAAGGACTGAGCCAGACTCAATCTCTAAGCCCTTTCTAGTATCAAAACACTTTGGTTTTAGAACATTCAGGGTGCAAAACAGTGAGGGAGAATTTCAAATGCATTGTATGGAAGCAGAAATAGTTTTTTGAAAACGGAAATTGGTATACAGATTCAAAATCTGAGGTTCAGGAGTCTTGTAGCAACAAATGGTGTTTTGAACAAACTCAGAACTCCTCAGGATCGACTGCTTAATAATATACATTTTGTCAATCTTACATTTGAATTAATGATGAAGCTTTAGCCAACAATGAACTACCGAAGTGTTCGTTATTACTAGTGGATTTGGGATTCAATGTTTACCCTTCATTAACGCTCAGCTCTGCCTGGTGGACAGAGAAAGGAATTTGGATCTAAACCTCAGACTTAGGATCTGGCTCTCGGCAGGCCTGGTCACACTGCTCACATTCTCCAAACTGGTTGAACCTCAAATCCCTTCTCTATAAAATGGCATAAAATAACGTCAGACTCTCCTAGGATAAAGAATTGCTAAAATGATTATACAATGCCCATTAGAGACATATTTCATAAGGGCGAAATTGTTACTTGTTCCTGCTACGTAATAATCATTGATTATGTGGCTTTTGTATACACAGTATTACCAATTAAGCAATCTGATTTGGTAGTTTGTCTAATGTAACAACAGTATAAATAATAACGATGCTCCAACTTAATTTTATTTCAAAGATGAAGTATGTTACTCAGTATAACATTTCTTATTCTCCCTTTGAAAAAAAAACTAAAAATGAAAAAAGAAAAACATTTTCTTTCAAATGTGTGTGAATTATGTATATAAGGCAGGTTAATATCAAAAGTCTGTTAAAAAAAATGTTAAAACAGGGTGTCTTTTCCAAGCAAAGCTCTTTTAGAAATAATTCAGTGCCATAACAGAGCTATAAAATGAAATCAGAATAAGCAGAAACAGAAGGAAAATGGTTCTGGAGGAAATCTGATGAGACAGTGCAGTGAACCAAAAAAACTGTGTGTATGAACACTAACAAACCTCACCCACAAAAGAAATCACTCTAATCCTTAAGTTCTCTGCTCAGGAACAAGAGCTTCCAGCCTCCCATCACCATGAGATTATAAAATGTTGACCTGAGTTTCAGGTATAACTCTTAGGACTAAAAGGTGGTCACATTCTGCTCCTTCCCAAAATACTGCTTTGAAATGACTGTGTGAGAGTCCCCGTTTACTTGAATTTACCAAATGGCCAGAGCCTTACAAGGGTGATTTGTAAAAAAGGAGACATATAAAAATACCACAGCTATGGAGCAGGTCTGAAGCTTTCAAAAGCGGAATTCTGCTTCATCTGAATTTTAAAACGTGTTTTACTGGGAAGGAAGCAGGGGACTTACGCTCGGCCCGCCTCCGTGCATCTTCAGAGCTCGCACCGTCGCCACCAGCACGACCGCGTTGGGCACCAGGCCAGAAGCTCGGCACTTGATGTTGAAAAATTTCTCCATCCCGATATCAGCACCAAAGCCAGCTTCAGTTACTGTGGAGAATGAAGGTGGAAACTTGTTATCAGCTTCTCAAAACAAGAGCAGGTTTTGGCAATCCCCGGTATGACTCCGGTTCAAAGGACAGCTGAAGTGGCCACCACCTCCAGGCTGCTCCCCTGCATTGCATCTTGTTCCTACGCAACGGTAAAATGATTCTCCCGTAGGCAGAGAAAACCTTCCACTTCCTTACGCTCTCTAAAAAGATGGCTCTCCACTCTGTTTTAGGCCACCATGCCTTAAGGATTCATCGCCAAGGACAAGATTCTTCTTCCGCTATGGCCACCCAAAGCAAAGCATTTACCACAGATGGGACTGTCAACTTTTAAATTCTGTTCCAGATTGTATCAAAGGACATTGTTAGCATGATTACCGTCGAAGAACCTTTTTGCTTTTTTACAACATGCACAGAATCATTTATTCAATGCCACCCGGTCATTTCTGTCCATTGACAAAATTCGAGTTAGCTGAGTGTCTTAAGAAGATGAATCATCAGGCTTGATAAGACAGCAACCTTCTTGCATAAGCACAGATGACAATCACCTTCAGCCAGGCCCTCTCCTGCCCCAAATTGCTAGAGATGTTCCTGTGGAGGTAGCTGAGGCGCACATAACTTTGCCTTCCCACACATTTTAACAAGAATTCAGAAAATAAAATCATGAAGTGTCGCATAATAATTTTGAATTCTAAGTACACCAGCCCATCATTCTAATTCTTTACGGTTTCCTTTATGTACTTCATATGCTTGTAAATTCTTACACAATAGGTAGAATTTTGTAGTTTGCCCCTTTGCTTTAAAATTTTCAGAGTTTTCTTCCTATACTACAAGCTTTCGAAATTTATGATCTTAAGTGGCAGCTTATAACTTTTTTTTTTTTTTTTTTTTTTAGTTTATAACTTTGTTAGGTGGATGTATCAAGATTTACAAAATTGTTCCCCCTGTTATTAGACATTTGGGTTGTTTCCAATATAAATAATGCTACAAAATATCTGTGCAGATGAGATTTAACCTCTTTCAAATTATATTCTTGGACTAAATTCCCAAGGGTGAGAGAACGGTGCCAGAGGATGTAAAAAATTTTTATGACTGCTGATATGCTTTTGACAAATTGAAAAATATTTCTCTAAAAATATTCAATTTGGAATGAATTTAGCTATAAAGTCACTATGTCCTTTATTTTATTTTCTTCGAGTAAATGATACAGCAGAATGAGCATTCCTTTTTACCACTATTTGGGACAATTCTAGTGATTTGATCAGTGGTGGTCAAAACCAGAGAAGATCACGGACAGTAACGATCTCTATCTCAGGGGTCCCCTGGGAAAAGCCGTGGTGACTTTAGCATGGGAGTGGTACAGCGGCCCACAGAAGAGGGATGTTCAGTTGGTTTTGTCAAAAATCATCACAGAGTGGGCTCCCAGAAGAGGAACGGTGACCATCCTCCTGGTTAGTATCAGGCAGACTAGATCCAGTCCGGACAGCTGTGCACACGAGCTGTCAGCTGAACAGTGACAAGCAGCAAGTGAATGCTGGTGAGTTACTTAACCTACTAGAATCTCAATGTCCTCATTTGACTTGCTGGGGGATTTAAGCGAGATAACACATGTCAAGTACTTCGTTACTGCCTTATGGTGGGTAGCAGGCACTCGCAAAAATGGTCCGCATCACTGTTACCAAGAGAACAACTCTCCCACTTGCTAGAAATCATACTCAATTCTTAAGCATTTCGCCAATTCCTGCTACGCCCAGGCATTTTGCTCGGGGGGTAGTGGCCCAGGATTAGGGTCCCTAACCTGAAGCTCTCCAGAGAGCTGAGGGGAGAGACTGTCTGCTATTGGACCAGAGGGAAGGAGGTGCGGTGCGGGGAGGGATGGAGGCTGCGGGGTAGGGCTGGAGAATGGGGATGATGGGAGTCAGGCTCTGAGGGACACAGGATCTCTCCAACCAGAGAAGTAAGGAGTTGGGGGTGGAGAGAGGGGCTTAGGGAGGAGTGAAAGGATTCGCAGGCAAAGGAGAGAGCAAGAGCGGAATTGATTTGGGAAGAGAAGAGAAATGATCCACGATGACCGGAGGAGTCCGTTACCTCAACCAACACAACCTGTTCTCTGGGCTGATCAGCTCTGAGGTGCAGGGAGTCAAGCAGCAAGTGTGCGTGTGTGTGTTTTCAATGCTGTTATACTGAAGAAATTGCTCGGTGTTGCTACACACATGACTGTGTGCAGTGTTTGATCAAGGTCTTTCCAGCCGGACGCCTGTTTCCACTTGAAGCTCCTGTATTAGACCAAGCTCCAAGATGAAAGGGGGCGTATCTGTGTGAGAAACGGACCCTGCAAGGCATACAGTAGGCACTGATGAACTTGTGCATCTCTAAAACAAACAAAACAAAAGGGCAGCGGGAGGATAGCAAAGTTTTCTAACACTTGGCCACAACAATATGAAGAGCACAGTTCATTTAAAATCCTTTCATTCTGCTGAAAAGCTGCAAGCTCACTTCACAATCCACCTCTTCCCCTCCTTAAACTTTAGCATGTGGTGGCCACGCTCTCCTCCCTTCAATAGCTCATTATTGCCTCAAGGAAAACATCCAAGTTCCTTATCATTAAAACTAAGGCCACCCCGATGTAACCTCAAGTACACACTCACGTCCACGTTCACTCTGCCTGAAATCTGGTTCTTCACTAATATCGAGTTTCCTGCAGAGCTCGCACGTACTGTGTCATCTCCGAGCCTCCTCCAGACGGGAACAACGGGAACGTTCCTCTCTCCCACCTCTCTTCTTTAACTCACTGCCTCAGCCTCCGCTCAGATGTTCCAGAAGCTTGCCCGGATCCTCTCAGGGAGAGCTGGCCGGCCCTGTGGTCTGCTCCTTTACCGTGCTCTCACCTTTCTCTGCATGTGGCGTCCCAACTAGACTTACATGGCCTCTCCCACTCAGAGACCAGGGACCATGTCCTACTCAGCTCTGTATGTCCAGTGCCTGTCACAGTACCGGGTGCACACGAATGAATGAATGATCAGAGATGTGAAGAAACCAGCGGAGTGCGATTCAGAGCCTGAGATGGTCAAGTCCCGGCCATCGTTCAGGGGAGACAGGTGGACACAAACAATAAAATTAAACAATGAAAAATGTTTTCCTATCACCCTATCATGCTTCCTTTTTCCCTACAGTAGCAAAACAGGCTTAACAAAAGGTATAAAGGTCATCACAGATAAAGGTATGCCATCGCAGATGGCTAAACAGGCCAGCTAAGCTTAATTCCGTATCTGAAGAGACAAACTGGGGGGAAAAAAAAGGTAGTAACAAAGAACTGCAGTTGGGGAAGGAAACAGGATACAGTAATGGAGGTCCAGGGGCTACGGCTTCCAAATGCAAAGGAAATATGGAGGCAAAGAATGTGTAGAAAACAGAAGAAAGTGCCAGATTCTCACACTTTGCACGGAATACGGCATGGAATCATTTGTGTTATTTGTTTTCGAATTCTGGGCTGCTAAGGAAAACAGAGCGTGGAGAAGGTGTGCTGGTGCACAATTGTTAATCACACACGTAAGCACCACTTCATAGGGGACAGCCACACGGGTCGGCTTGGGAACAGACAGTGTGCAGTGCTGTTATGTCTGTGTCTTGCGAATCTGTGGGTCTGGAAGCGAGCAGGGGACAGGCCACTCTCACTGACAGGTTCTGGTTCCCAGATGCTCCCTGACAATGGTCAGCAGAGCACCCTGTAAGCTAACTACTCCCAGCCATCAGAAATAAGCAATTTAGAACTTACCCTATTTACGGCTTTTGATAAATTTCAAAGGACGTGCACACTTGAGAATTACTTACTGTTGATCTTAATAGGCACCTGTGCTTGAGTCACAAAGCAAAGATACTTACTACAACTTTGCATTCTTGAAAAGCATGTAACGGAGTCCTCTGAAAGCGGCATATTTAAAAAGGCTTGCAGGAAAATGCATGTGCCACAACAATTATGTGTCCTGGCAATCTCTCGGGGGCGGGGGGGAAGTGCGGAGGTCATAGCTATTCACCTGACAGCAGGACGGAAAACAGGAAACTGATACTCCTCTGTGTAAGCACAGAGGCTGTTAGGTCGTGATTTGGAAGCAAGACTTGACTCCAACGTTATAACCCAAAATCTGTTCAGAAAGGAAGTGTCAGCGGGTCTGCGTTGGGAAGGGACTAGCTGTTTGGACAAAACCTGTGAGCACTTTCGCAGGAAACAGAGCTCAGCACGAAAACCAACACTGCACAACCAGGCACCTGCCTCCCGCGCCGCTCCGCGAGGGCGCCCCAAGCCACACTGGACGAACTGAGCAGAAATGACAATAAAACCTGACTGTAGGCACCTATCGAGTCTATGAAATTCTTCGATGAGGCAGAGAGATGATTTTTCTATATCAAATTATCTATCATGTGTCCAGTTTGCAGTACACAATGCACTGAAGATTTTATCACAATGAGGACGGGGATAAGCAAGCACCAATCAGCTGACTTACGAGAAAAAAAAAAGCATTTACATTACCACCTCATGGGGGGACCTAAAAATTATGGGCTCATAAAATTCTAGAGCTCTGGGGGAAGGCGCCTGGCCAGTGACCTTCCTGAGATGGTGTCCTGGGTCCCTTGGATGCTCAGCTCAGGGCTCTCTTCTGCATTACATGCTTTCTGTCCCTTGACATTCTATTTAAAAGCACTTTTAATTAAATACATGCATCTCAGCATTAAAGAAAAGCCTCCATTTTTTCTCATCTAACAATTACTGAACCTCTCTTATGCCGCCTAGCTCTTAAGCACTCCTGTATGTACTCATGTCTTCATTTAGGGAGGAAACAAAGTCCATTTGTAACATGACAAACAGAAATGTGAATTGCCTCTTTAAAAAGGAACATCTTTCTGACTGTCCCCATTGTACTTTTTCTTCCTTGAATTCCCTCTGGTATTTAACATTTCTTATTTATCAGTACATAATAAATTTGAATTCATGTCTGTTTCACA